TAAAGGCATTATTTGGATAAAATTATGGATTTAGACCAAATATAAAATTTTAGAATTGTTATATGCTTTGTGTTAAATTAGAAAGAGAGACAAAGATAACCTACGAAAATTTATAGGAATAGAATAATTAAGTTTTAGATAATTAGTGTTAAGCTATGAATATTAAATTATTTCTTATAGGTGTAAATTTTGTGATCTCGAAGGAAGGTGTTCGAGAGGAGTAATCAGATCAAATCCTTTAAATCGAAGTGAGTACTCATAGTTCTTTATTACAGTGATACCTTTGTTTCTCTCAAATTATATGTTTTGAAAGTCCAAGCATGTTTATGAAATTTTTATGGTTACTTTAGATCATGATTATGTTATTATTATCCTATGATTGATCATACGATTTATATGTTATACTTCTTGGCTTTATCACATAAAGTTCATATGTTATAGAAATGAGATGATATTATTGTTATAAAATATTTGCATGTGCATGCTGAATTTATGGAGCTCACCCCCTTATGGTACTAGCTCGGGACGTTACTCGTACACGTTAAAATGGTAAAGGTTATGAAAAAGGAAATGATAAAGGAGTACCTTTATGCTACTAGACGGTGGCTCCTATAACGGTTGTACTATATATAAAATGAGAATGTTACGAATATTGATATGATGAATACAAAATGAATATGAAAGGATATGGATTTATGATTTATGTGTATGTTTAATGTTATGTTTATAAGAGATCAAATTTATGATATATTTAAATGAAATGTGACATTTTGCATATTACTCATTCTGTCTTGAATTACTATAATTTAGAGACATGTTTTACTTACTAAGATTTGGCTTATTGTTAGGTGTTCAATAATTTTTTAGGTATAATTATTTTAACCATAATGAGTAGAAGGGGTGGAAACGTATATCGTAAGAGAGGCGCACCAGAAGAAAGGTAACAATATGAATCTTAATGAGATTATGTTTATTTTTTAAAAATTTATTGTTTTAGTGGTTCTTTCAAATGTTATGGTGATAGATTTAGAGATTGGATAATTTAGTTTACCGTCCAACCTCCGTTCCCGCGTTGCCTATGCGAGCTCACACGCCGGGTCGTGACAGTAATGAACTCAATGCCAACAGAAAATAACGAGGAAAAGCAAACAATTGTACCTAGTTAATAATTGCACCCATTTTAACAAAACTAATTAACACCCATTTAGATAGAAAATTTATTATGGAACAAGCCTATATAAAGAATCCAACGAATGAAAGCAATTTTAAATGGAACGGTCTCCCAAATCAAAGAGAATATGTTTGAATGCATTCATGCATAAGGAATGCAAAAAAAATTATTATGAATATGAAAGGATATGGATTTATGATTTATGTGTATGTTTAATGTTATGTTTATAAGAGATCAAATTTATGATAAATTTAAATGAAATGTGACATTTTGCATATTACTCATTTTGTCTTGAATTACTATAATTTAGAGGCATATTTTACTTACTAAGATTTGGCTTATTGTTAGGTGTTCAATAATTTTTTAGGTATAATTATTTTAACCATAATGAGTAGAAGGGGTGAAAACGTATATCGTAAGAGAGGCGCACAAGAAGAAAGGTAACAATATGAATCTTAATGAGATTATGTTTATTTTTTAAAAATTTTATTGTTTTAGTGGTTCTTTCAAATGTTATGGTGATAGATTTAGAGATTGGATAATTTAGTTTACCGTCCAACCTCCGTTCCCGCATCGCCTATGCGAGCTCACACGTCGGGTCGTGACAGTAATGAACTCAATGCCAACAGGAAATAACAAGGAAAAGCAAACAATTGTACCTAGTTAATAATTGCACCCATTGTAACAAAACTAATTAACACCCATTTAGATAGAAAATTTATTATGGAACAAGCCTATATAAAGAATCCAACGAATGAAAGCAATTTTAAATGGAACGAAGGTCTCCCAAATCAAAGAGAATATGTTTGAATGCATTCATGCATAAGGAATGCAAAAAATGAAGTGACCATCTAAAGGACATTTAACATAAACGTCTATTTAAGAGAGCCAATATTAGAATTAATACCAACCTAATTTAACTCTTTATAAATGCTGGAAACATGGTTGTCAAGATGCATAGGATAATAATTTTACAATGAATTTTCCAACCAATCAATAGACATAAGAAATTGAGATTTCAATGAGCAATTTTGATTTCAAGCTAATTTGAAGCTATGACAATATAATGCTACAAAAAAGATTCATCTTTAAACCATTTGACTTTCAAAAATTTAACCATTTCACCATTTTGAATGCTCAGTAGAGCAAAAGGAAGGGATAAGGTAAGAGAAATGATTATTGATCAAAGGTCCTTAACTCCAAACCCTCTTTTTTTTTTTTTGTCCATAAATGTTTTTCCATTTAACCAGGCTGAGTCTTTTTCCTTCATCTATGAATTTATGCGAATAAATCTCATTTTGACATCCATAAAAAAAGGAGATAAGTAATAAAGTGGTAAATGTGAAAAAACTAAATTAATCAAGACAATACAACTACGTTTACAAGGTAAGTTACCTTTTAATGAAAAAAAAGGTTTCTTGGAAATTTATCTATAATTTGAAGAAAGATCTTTATAAGTTGGAAGATGTATGAACCATGTTTGCCAGTTCAAGTGAATCATCCTTAATCTACTAGCAACAGACGAAGAAGACTAGTCGAGCGGGGAAAACCAAGGGCGCGAGCATAGCTGGCAGAACCAAATTGTGCGAACGTGTGAGGAAATGTGTTCAAATGCAAAAAGCAGTGACTCCTCGTGTGAGATATCCTTGATTCGCTCACTCCTATTGAATTGCATGAATAGAAGAGGCTTACTGAGAGGAAGAAGGAGAAGGAAAAGAAAATAAATAGAGAGAGAGAGAGAGAGAGAGAGAGAGTTCTTGGGTTCCCATTACTGGCGACGAGGGGGAGACCAAGAGAACGAGAGCGAAAGCAAGCAAGATGGAAGGCTTGAGTGGCGAGTGTGGGGACGAGTACGGGCAAAGCTCATAAGACATTCAGCTTGGAAAGGTATGATTAACATTTATAAATAAGGATTTATTTTGTAGATAATAAATAAAAATAATTTAATTTAGATATTAATAAATTATATAATAAAATTTTAAAGGAAAATTAAAAAAAGAGAAAAAGAGAATGTTTAAAATAAATGATTAATCTAATACATACAGTTAAATTAATTATTTTTAAATTATGAATTTTTATAGAATAAATTAATAAATACAATTAAGGAAGTTTATATATATATATATATATATATATATATATAGAGAGAGAGAGAGAGAGAGAGAGAGAAAGAGAGAGAAAATGAATATTTCAAAATTCAATTTTAATTAGTGAATTAAATAATTAATTAGAGAGAGTAATAGCAATTATTAATTAAAATTTTAACAAAGTCTTTGTATAGGTGTTAGTTGATGTCAACGAAGTGATAATTAAGGTAAATTATCAAGGCATCCGATTATGAAGTGAATTAAAATAATGATTTTATTTCTCTCTTATTTCCGTGATGGTTGTATTATTTATAAGAAAGGATAAAAATATGATATACGTATAACATTGATGATCATGTTTAAAATGAATTTAAATGAAATTACTTTATGTTTGGAATGACATGCATATTATTTCAAAAGTCTTGTGTTACTGTAATTTAGAAGCATGATTTACTCACCGAATTCATCATAACTCACTTCTATTTCTAATAACATTCACAGGTATTATTTGATTAACTTAAAATAAGTAGAACAAAATGTATATCGTCGATGAGATGCTTCGGAAGAAAAGTATTTATATCAATGTTTTGAAGTTTCTAGTTGCTCTTTCAATTTATTAGTGATAATTTTAGCAAATGAAAATCTAATCACATGTTCGACCATCTATTCCCACCTCATTAATTCGAGCATCTAGCTAGGTCGTGATAGAGAATCCCCTGCTCCCTCTTTAGTATCATCACTTTTGAATGTTGGAACTTATGATCCCTAAAAAGTCATGTTTGAATTGGAATAGAGAGTCCTATTATTCATATTATTTATTCTGCTTGTGATATTACAATTGTGCTCATCAATGCCACGTTTGATTATTTTGAAGTGAAGTTTGTTGATGATTTAAGCTTGGTCCAATCTCATGATTCTACCAAGCATGTATTTTTATCAAGAGGATAAAAAGTTCAAATTTGTGTTTGCTCATCGAGACACTAATCTTAAAAAAAAAAACTCTCTCCATTCACTCAGGTTTACTAGATTCTAAGTAACCACCCTCCAAATGATTTTGGCATTTTGTACTCGGGTGATTGAATATCAGCAGGCTTCCATCCTCTTCGATAAAAAATACTCATTTTGCTTTATGTTTTCTTGATCCACTGTATTTTGGTTTTCATTTTACAATCGCTAACCTATGTAACTGCTTGTTCAATTAACTTTTTTAATGACTTGTTATTAAATTATGTTGCTTTAAAAGAAAAAATATTCACAAGTTCTAAGAAACTCTGATGTCTCTGGACCTTCCTATTCAATAAATTTAAAAAATAACCTGTACTAGATTAATTAATTTTTTAAAAGATGCATGAAACCAACGAAGAAGAAGATGACTATAATAAGTTACTCATATGGCTATGGACATGGCTGCACTATACAGATCAGTGATCAATATTAAAAGATGCATTAAACCAACGAAGAAGAGGATGACTATTATAAGTTACTCATATGGCTAAGGACATGGCTGCACTATACAGATCAGTGATCAATATTCCCAAAATTTTATTATAAGGTGTTATGAGTTGAATTTTCCAAAATCTGCAAGGAAACTGACATTACATAAGAAAAATAATAGCATTATGATGTTTATTAAGAATAAAGAAATAAAAAATGGCCAAATGTCTCCTTTGATTGAAGTTATAGAAACGATGAGAATGTGTGATTATATTACAAAAATAATGTAAATATTATTTTATACTTACAAGACATGCATGACATTGCGGCCAAAGCAGCTCCTCGGTGCATGGCTGTACAACATATAGTAGCTTTTTGGAATGATAGCTCAAGTAGGGTGCCAGAAGAAGCTACTACTGCCTGAGTATGCAGAGAGGTTAAAATGGCTTCCAAAACAGATTATGAAATATTCTAGTTCTTATGACACAGATTTGTCAAGTGGCAGTGATGCACACCTTGGGACAAAAGCGAACAAATGTAGACACAAAGTTAGTGTAGGCCTCAACCAGATCAGGCTCTTGATCGCATATGTATGAAGAATTCAGCGCAGTTACTGAAGCAGCTGAAGTAAACCTCTCAAAAGTGTCGATGCATAAGGTTCCATATTCTTCTCTATAACCAAATTCTTCAATGACAACAGCAGCTGATGAAGTTGCCAGTGCGGAAATAGTGAATAACAAAATGGAAATACATGTGATGCAAATTTACTACATAAGAATAATAAAAGTTTCGTCAAATACAAAAACTTATCAATCAATCGATAATGACTTAAATGTTGATGGGATTTGCCTCAATATTTGAACATCATGTTTGAGTGCTGATAATCAAATATGTAGATAGTGCTTTCTCTTACAAGTTAAAAAATGTCAGCAAGAGCTCTTCATGTGATCATAAAATGTTAATTCTCATGCATGCACATGTGAAAAACCAATCTTTGAATTAAGGACAAAAAAAAGGTCAATCAGCCCTCAAAGATGATCATAAACCAATTCCACCACCACCATATACCTTAAAACTCTTCCGAATTATTATTTTCTGTTAGGATGTTTTAATGTAGGACAACCAGTAATAGACGACAATTCAGCCAAATCACATAGAAATCTAATTTTTCATAGGCTAACCATTAACGGTTAAACCAAGCTACAAAAAAGCTCAATTGCATTAGTGTTAGGGCTTGCCTAGACCCCCATAAATTTAGAACAATTTTTGTATCATTTATTTTTTATTGGTTTAAACGTAATCAGGTAAAGGATATTTCATCCTTATTTAAAGTAAAGCCTAAGAATAAACTCATCCTTACCAAAGGATTTAATTTCTTTTATAAATAGGACTAATTTTATGGACTTTTGGATTATTAAATGAAGATTGAATTACTGATGAAGCCACATATGATTGTATCCATTTTTGTTTCTTCCCCACTAATCCAAAGTGTACATTGATGTAAGCACAAGTGTAAGAAAACTGAAACAAAGAGAACAATGGATAGAACTCAAACCAGACTCTATTAAAATAGAAGTAATCAACTAAAACACCCAAAATCCAACAAGAAAACACGAAGAGACTTTTAAGAAACAAAGAAAATAAAAAAACAACGCTATCTTCAGACAACCGTCAGAGCGGGTTCCTCACATGCATCGAATTGTAGGTTAAATAAGATAAGTGCATAGGACTAGCAAACCGATGGTCCACCACTGCAAGATCGTCCAATTCTTCCAACAGATGCTTCCAAGTCAACCAACGATCACCACCAAAACTCAAGAAGAAGAATACAGATGGAGTGGAACTTGCGAGAGACGAAAGAGGTTAGAAGCCAAGACAAAGGGTGGAAAGAGCTCGCAAGATTTCCAGAGGGGATGAGAAGAAGAATGGAACAAGCTCGCAAGCTTTTCAAATAACCCGCAGGTCAATAGCAAATTTGCTTACAATAATCAACTGCCTTTCTTCACAAAAACATCTCATATTTATAGGCAAGATAGGAGAATACCAACAACCACTTTAATTAATTTCCAAAAGAACCCAAGCATTAAGTCATGGTTTTTCCCATATGCTTTTCACGGAAAACAGCCCAGCTCAGGAATCGAAAGAGCAACCACGGGAACCAAAGGAACCGCACGGAATCGAGGCACCACAAGCCACAGGAAGACCCCCAGCTCGAAAAACCAGCAGCCACCGTGGGAGCCAAGGAGACAAAGCACGGAAACAGCAGCCAACCGTGAAAGCCAAGGCACAAAATTAATCCAGCACAAAAAACATAGCCACAGATTCCCAAGAGACAAGAAGAAAGGGGAAGGAGAAGGGACAAGTCCACTCCAAAATTGAATCTAACATAATGAGCTTACCTTTAAAACATTAATGAGCTACAAAACTTGAGCTCAAGCAACTAAGAGAATGAGCTAAACTCCAACCATCTCCATACATCACCATATGCTCCAAAACAGCCAACCCGTGAACCAGCAGCAGCCAAGGACCCATCGAGCCAGCAAACCAAAGGTCTACCAAGCCCCATGCACAACCTACCATATTCATTGGATGCTTTCCCATCAATAGATAGCTAAAAAAAGAAAAGAACATAAAACATATTATTGTTCAAATAAAAATAAAAAAATACAGAAATATTTGATAGTATCAATTCCCTCCTGGTGGAAAATTCTCATCTCCTGATGAGAATGTATCAGCAACTCGTTCATAAAGCTCCAAATTCCTCTTTTTTAGATCAGCAGCATCAATCCAGGTGCAATCAGTCAATGGTTGCTACATTTGACCAAGAACTTCTTGTGTTCCCCATGTCTTGTTTTAATGACTTTCATATCAACAACATCTTCAATTTAATCTTTAGACTTTACCAAAGGAGCAGAGAGTGGTAAAGTTTAAATGTCTACAAAATCATCAGAATTTCCTTAATACAAAGACAAGTCAGAAACATTAAAAACAGGAGAAGTGCCAACAGTATTTGGTAGGTCCAGCAAATAAGGCATTGTGCAGTTCCTTTAAAAGCCTTACATACCTTACATTGTTTAACCAGTTTAGCAATGTCTTTTCTCATGTGAGGACAGAAATATTTTTCTTCGACTAAAACAATTGTTTTTTCCTTGCCCAAAATGTCCTCTCAAACCTCCACTATGCAATTATTTCACAACTTGTTCTCTTAAAGAGCTTTTAGATATGCAAATTCTAGTTCCCTTAAACAAAAAACCTTGATGTATAACAAACTGAGCAGAAGGATCAGTTCCATACGCAAAACAAGCATCCGAAATATTTTTAAAATCAGAATCACTTGCATAAGTGTCTTTCAAAAAGTCAAAAGAAGTAACAGTTGGAAAAACAGTTATCAACAAGTAAGATCTTCGACTTAAAACATCAGGAACCTTATTTAAAACCCCAGTTTTATGTTTGATATAAAAAGAGTATTCTTGCAAAAAAGAAACCCATTTGGCATGTCTTTTGTTCAGATTTTTTTGTGAACCCAAAAACCGTAAAGCCTCGTGATCAGTATTCAAAATAAATTCTCGTTGAACCAGATAGCATCTCCAGAATTTCAAAGCTTGAACAATGGCATAAAATTCTAAGTCATAAGTAGAATATCGAGATCGAGCATCATTTAACATTTTCACTAAAATATGCAATAGGCTTTCCTTCCTGACTCAGAACAACACCAATACCAACATGTGAAGCATCACAATCGACTTCAAAAACCTTTTCAAAATTTGGCAGGCTAAGAATTAGAGTTTGACTCATTTTTAGTTTGATCAGTTGAAAAGTAGTTTCAGCCTCAGGGGTCCATTTAAAAGTTCACTTTTTTAAACAATCAGTGATAAGAGCGATTAAAGAACTAAAGTTTTTAACGAATCAACGATAAAAAGATGCAAACCCATGAAACCTCTTACCTCACTGATATTTTTAGGAACAAGCCAGCTTCTTATTGCCTCAATTTTCACAGGATCTACTTTGATTCCCTTAGCAGACACAATGTAACCCAAAAATGTCAAACTCTAAGTCATAAAAGAACATTTCTTTAAATTGATGTACAGTTTTTGTTCTCTCAAAGTTTTCAGAATTTCTTTGACATGTAAAAGATGTTCAGATGGGTGAATGCTGTAAATCAGAATATCATCAAAATATACGACTACAAACTTTCCAATAAAAGGTCGCAAGACATGATTCATAGTTCGCATAAAAGTACTCGGAGCATTAGTCAAACCAAAAGGCATAACAAGCCATTCATATAAGCCCTCTTTGGTTTTAAAAGCAGTTTTTCATTCATCTCTAGGTCTAATTCTTATCCGATGATACCCATTTTTCAAATCAATCTTTGAAAAAACTTTAACACCACTTAGCATATCAAGCATGTCATCTAACCTAGGAACTGGAAACCGGTATTTGATGGTTATTTTATTTATGACTCGACTATCTACGCACATTCTCCAAGTTTCATCCTTTTTAGGAGTAAGCAAAGAAGATACAACACAAGGACTCAGACTTTCTTGGATTAAACCCTTTTCCAACAGTTCAGACACTTGTTTAGAAAGTTTTTTATGTTCATTTGGACTCATTCTGTAATGTGAACGATTAGGCAATGTAGCTTCAGGAATTAAATCAATATGATGTTGAATGTTTCTCATTGGGGGTAAACCAGCTGGTAATTCATCAAATATTAAATCAGAAAATTCATCAAGCAACGATTGTATTTCTTTAGGAATTTCAAAGGTTAAATCAGACTCTTTTCCAAACAACAAATATATCACATCAGACTTTGTTAATTCATTTGTGTTTCGAAGAAATTCAGAGGTGGAAGACTTTGCAAGCTTTTTGTTCTTTGTTACCGGGTCGGGAATGTTTCTTTGTGGAAAAAGTGTGAACTCCTTATTATCTTTAATTAAGGAATTTGTGTTCTTTTCTCCTTTGTGGATGGTTTTATGATCATACTTCCATGGACGACCTAAAAGGATATGACAGACTTCAAGAGGTACAACATCACAGACGATTTGATTTTTGTAAGTTCCTCCAATTGTTAAGTTCACAGTACATTGTTTAGTTATAGGAACCTCACTCCTCTCTTTGAACCAGGATATTTTGTATGATTTAACAAGAGATTTTGTTTTCAGATTAAGCTTCTTTACCATATGTTGTGACACAGTTTCCTGAACTTCCACAATAATTCATTAAGGTACACACTTTCCCTTCAATAGTGCAGGTAGTTCTAAAGATATTTCTTCTAAGCCATTTATCTTCCTTTTCAATTTGAGCAGTTAAAATTCGTCGAATTACTAGCAACGGTTCTCCTTCATCACCCTCCAAATCAAATTTCTTTAATTCAACTTCATTTTCAGATTCTGTTTCATTCTCTTTCTCTTCTTCTATTTCTTTTTCATCTTCTATGAAATTATTTCGTAGAGTATTATTCTTTCTGCAAGTAGCTAAAAAGTGACCATATAGACCACACTTGTAACAAGGCCCAATTAGTTTAGATTGTTCAGTAGGTTTAGTTCCGGCTACTCCTTTACCCTTTTCCTGATTTTGACCTTCAGCATCTTTAACTTTCACACTTGAAGTTCCTGCAGAAGTTTGAGATTGAAGTTTAGTTCCACTAGTTTGTCCCTGCTTATATGTTTTAGTTATTTTGTTGCTTCACCGCAAATGTTGTTT